ATATTAGGAAAAAACTTAAATGTCGGTAAATTTTTTAAAATCTGGAAAAAATTAGTATTGTTAATTATTAAATGTAGAAAAAATAATAGAGAACTAATAAGACATACATCGAATTTCTAACTAATTATTTTTATTGAATCACCCAGACAAATTATCTCAAATTTGAAATCCTTCGAGTTCAAAACATGAAATTGAAAAAGATATATTAAAGGAAAATACTTGAGAAGTTGGTGTAGAAGATTTTAAGATAAAGAGCAAATAAAAACTATCTTTATATAAAACCCGAATCATTGTCAAAAAAAAATTCTGACAGCTCTGTGTATTCAATAATAATGTAGAAACGACTTTTACTTGTACTATCTATGTGTATTTGCCAGGGCTAGTCATTGCTTGATTTTAGCACATTATCAAATCTTTTCTTCACAAAATTACTAACGTGGTTACAATTGCAGATTCTAAGGCTAGTTAATTATCATATCACAGTTTCTATATATATTACACTATGTTGTCTACAATAAATCTGTCTAAATAGAGTATTGCAAGACTTTAAGCAAAATAAGATTTTAAGTTGGTCAACATAAACAAACTACCAAGAAATCATAAGAAACGTAATAATGGCTTTTTCGTTTTCCTTCTTCTTCGCGATGAAATGCATATTCTTTTTAACTGATCTTCATGCTTATTAACAACCACAACATCTGCGTGCAACAATGGTTGATAACAACTATTCCTACTAATTAATAAATAAAAAATGTCATCGTATCAGAACTAACAAATAATACTACTAAAACAAGAGGTAATATGCATGCTAGCATAGTTTATGTTCTTAGTTGGTCAAATATGAGAGAGTTAAACACAACTGAAAAAGTAATTATCATAATTAAAAAGTCAAAAAATCTGAGCATGAATAAATATAAATTGTTTGTATTCAGAAAAAGAGAATCTGGAAATCGAGACTTGAAATAATAGCTCTTTTATAGAAGTTTTGCCTATACAATTCGAAAAGGAAAGAATTTATGATTAGTAAAAAATTAAATGACTATTTCTATATATTAGAAAAATAAATTAATGAATATTCAGATATTAACGAAATAACTAAATGACTATTTTGTCTAGTGTGAACTCTGTTTTAAAAAGGTAAAAAAGACGAACGATATTTCGCTAAGGACCTTCGTGCTTTTAATATAGTATAGATTACAACTTCACAATATTTTTATACTACCCCTCTCGCTAGGTTACATGCGTTGGATATCTAGGATATGCTACGTGAGCCATGTCTACTAGAAGTAATTGTTGCATCGAATGTGGTGGACGATGCAATATTACCAAGTTTTCTTTTTGTGTTCTTCCCAACTTCGCCAAGTGATCAGCACACGTATTTCCTTACCTCAGAGTATGTGCCAAGTTTAGATATGATGCTCCTGCATTCTTCCATCACAACCTGATCTGGGTGACTTTCAGGGACGTTACCTTCCACAGTTAGCCACATTAGGGCATCAGTCGAGTCGGTTTCGATTATTACAGTTTTCAAGTTGTAACTTTTTGCTAGAGTCAGACCGCCATGTATAGCCCATAACTCTGGTGTAAGACTTGATGTCCCTCTCATGTTAAGTCGTCCGCAAAATCCTCCTATCCGCCTTCCTTTATCATTTCGAGCAACGCCTCCAAACCCTATTAGTCCTGAATTAGGCATAAAACTGCCGTCTGCATTGATCTTGATAAACCCTAACGAAGGAAATGATCAACTGATGAAAATAGGTGTAGTACTACTCTATTGAATTTTTGTTGATTGAAAATGGCAATTAGTTGCACTTCTAGGGCCGATTGGAAGATGACTTTGCCAACAAATAGAAGACACGTACAATGATGCCATAACTTTTTAAATACCGTGTAGTTGCACTATTAGACTTTGTTTGACTATCAAAGGAAGAAAAAGAGAGTATAGAATTAAACAAAAAACTTGAGCTCTTAAATTTGTTATCACAACACATGTATATATAAAAACTGGAGCTAATCCTAATTTTTGTAGGATTCTGCGTTTAGGAAACGAATTAGAATTAAAAATTGGCTCTAGTCCTACTTGTTCCTTTATCACGTCGAGCAACACTTTCAAACCTTGCTAGTCCTAGGTTGGGTACCAAACTTTAGTATTTAGGAATTTAATAAGGAAATAGGAAACTAAATAACATGACTTTTAAATCCAAATTAGAACTCATATGGGATTTCCATTTAGGAAACCCAGACGGAGAAGGAAACAAAAGAAAAAATGGAAACGAAAACGTGACTTTTTAAATCAAAACACCAACGGGGTTATTATGGTTTCGAATTCCCTTCCTGTATTCATTATTATTACTATCCCATGTTAAATAAAATTATAAATTATGATTTTGTCACTAAACTTTTTCCTACCTACGAAGAAATGAATAAAATCCGTTTAAAATAAAAACAAAAACATTAAAAAAGCACATCAACTAAAAACGCGTTCTCGTGAAATTCGTAACCAAAGTACTCTCAATTCTGATTAATCACGAAAACAAACAAAATAATACTTACGTTGAAAAGAACCTATCCAATAGAGAACTGAGTTTAATTAAAGCCACAATTGTATTGCTTCTTAATTGTCTTACTTTATCAACATTATAGATGCACCAATCTGCTTAATTAGGTCATGAAAATTTCTAAAGGTATGCAAATTTCTTTATCGCTCGACTGTATATATGTATCTTCGCATTCATCGCCTCATCGGGTATTGTCAAATTACTTATTTTATACTTCTCGCCCGATATTTGATTTTAATATCTGTTACACTACTTATTTTTTGTCTTCGCATTCATCAGGTAACACTACTTACTTATTGTTTCTCGCTCGATGTCCGGTACTCATATTGAGGCTCAACTAATCTGAATTCACGCGGCGTAAGGCTTAATAAAGGGGGAAACACTTCCTAACATGTTTTTTCTATTCCCAAGATTCAAATCCGAGCCCTTTAGCTAAAAGGATGGAGGGATATCCATTTCACCACAATTTTCGGTGATGGTACCTGGCACACTATGTTAAGAACAGTTCATGTTGAATTGCAATCTTTTATGCCTGAATTAGTTGTTAATTATTATGATGTAAGCTCAGCGATGTGTGTTTTGTTTGAGGGAACAGAAAATGATTTATATTCTGAAAAATATTTTTCAATATTTGGTTGAAGAATAGAACTTTTTTTCTAAAAAAATATATTTGATAAAGGGGATACATAAGTCATTTTCTTGCAAAAAAAAATATTTTCACTCACCAATTTAACACCAAGAAACAGTTCCATTAAAGCTTTATTAATCACCAACTCATCCTTATATTTTTTTACTAATAATTAAACCTTTATTAGTTACCAACTAACTATGTACAAATCTCAGCTCAGCTACAACTCAGTTGGTTGATCACTCCCGTGTATTATTTCTTCACTAGTTCATTTGTCCTCGCTTCGCGCGATTATTAACATTGAGTTTATTAAGTGATTATTTTATAAATTAGTCCATATAAAAAAAGAAGGAACATAGCAAAGACTAAACCAATTTTCACTTATAAAAATCATATCTAAACTCTAAACTAATCAAATGTAATTTTTAGTATAATTGGAAGTATTAAAAAAACAACAAAGCTTGATCGAAAAATCTTCTAAAATTATAGAAAATCACAACAAAGTAAACACTTATTCGGTCATTCCCCACTCGTAAAAAAATTTCTTTAAAATAATCAAAAGCAACAACAGTAAACAAAGGAAAGAACAAATTCCTCATTTTGTCTAAATTTAGATAGGAAAGGAACTTATGGACTTCGAATCATAAAAGTGAAGCATATAGGGTGTGTTTGGTATGAAGGAATAAGTGGTTTTATCATTTATTTTTTCTTGTTTGTTTGGTGAGAGTAAAACTTTTTTCGGAAAATATTTTTTAGTATTTGGTTAGAGAGTAGAAAATATTTTTTTTATGATACTCTCCTCATACCAAACATTAAGCCAACCAAACATGAGAAAATTGAAAAATATCTTTCGGAAAATGTTTTCCTTCATACCAAACTAGAGGTGTCAAACAGGCCGGGTTGACCCGGGTCCGACCCGGCCCAGACTGATTGAAACCCGGCTCGGCCCGGTACTTAGGAGGCCGGGTGGGTTGGGTTACTGGGGTTAGGGGGTTGGTCCGTTCACCTTTAATTCATCCGGTTAACCGGATCAGTCAAACCCGGTCAACCAAAATTCCTGTAGAACCGGTTAACCGGCCCGGACCGGTTTAAAGGCTAGATTTTATTTTTTTTATTTTTTTATTTAAGGTTTTAGAGTCTAAGACAATGCAAAACCTTTGAATTTACTCTTTTTCGTTAATTTACTTGTTGTTAAATGTAAACCTTTCAATTTGTAAGTTTGAATTTTGAAATAAATGTAGCACTTGCAATTTATAAGTGCAATTTTTTTCCATCTTCATTGTATTCTTTATATTTTTACTTTATATTAATATAAATTACAATAGTTATACAAAATAAAAAAAAAACAAAAAACAAAAAACACTAACCCGACCCGGCCCCTTGGACCCGTAGGCCGTAACCCTTACGGTTTATTTTTTACCCGAATGAACCCGAATCCGTTAAGCCAGGTAACCCCTAACCTGTAACCGGCCGGTTCGAAACCCGGACGGTTTTAATTTTCCCTACCTAGCCCGGCTCAGCCCACCCGTTAGACACCCTTATACTAAACACACCCATAATCAATGCTTTAATCACATAACAGAAATAACTTAAATTAGAGTACGTGTGATATTACAATAGATATAAAAAATAAATAGAAAAGTTTCAAGGATATGAAAAAGAACTATAATTCAGCCTCATGCAGTTGCACAAGCTCTGGGCTAAATTGCTCTGGGCTAAAGCATCAATTTCAAATGATTGAAGATACATTATATCTCAATTGGTAATACTTATTGTGTCATCAATTTGAATCCTGTTAAATTAAATTTTTGTACATATTTAATGAACATTTTAACATATATATATATACATGTTTTGGATTAAAGTTATTGAGTTCTGCCGAACAGCTTCACCTATGATTAGACTAGCTCCACCTATGATTAGACTTATATGTCTTTTTCATTTGCAGTTTGATCTCTACATATGTTTTCACCATTTTTTTAATACCAGCAAATTGATATTTGGTAGTGCAATTGACTAAGACTTTTGTCAGATTTTGCGTCTAATTATAGTAACGTAATAAACTTATTAATCTTTTCACAGAGAAAAGTGTACTAACCAGTAACCACTGTCAAAATTTACTGTACCATATATGGAGTTAGGAGAGATTATTTTGGCATGTGTAGTTAACAAAAGAGACATCATTCCAAAATGATAACAAGTCTGAAAACGATTTTAAACTACTTTCTGTTTGACTCAAAAGATATTAAAACTTTTTTGAACAAATTAATCAAAGATTTGGAACAGTAGAACCCTAGCTATTTCCAATAGATGTCTGTGTTTCCTTTCAATAATGCCATTTTATTGAGGGGTTCCCACACAACTTGTCTAATGAAGAATGCCTTGAGAAAGCAGAAATGCTGCTTCTTGTGAACCCTTCCCTAATTCAAATGCATTATCAGTCCTTAATTTCTGCACTTTAACCCCAAACTGTCTTTCAACCATGATGAAGAAATTCTTTAAAACTGCAAATACATTCCCCTTTGTACTTAGCAGAAAGGTCCAGGTACCTCTGCTAAAGCCATCCACTATGGTTAAAAAATATTTGAAACCATTGTAGGTAGGCACCTTGTAAGGAACCCAAGTATCAACATGAATCAACTCAAATATTCTTTTGGATGTTTTTTGACTTAAAGGAAAAGAGAGTCTAGTTTGCCTAGCTCTAGGACATACATCACAAAAACAATCAGAATTAGAAGAGATTGAAATAAAATTGAACTGTTTCATTGCATGGAAAGACAAATGCCCCAATCTATTGTGCCAAAGATTTACATTAGAGATTGCACTTGCAGAAATAGGAAAGGAAACTGAAACTTGACTGACATCATTCTGATTGGAAAATGAAACTACATTAGGTTGTGAACTATATCTAACTTTTCTAGGCTCCAACATGTTTAATCCTTCCTTTGCTTTACCAAAAACTTGAGGCCTCTTCATTAAAAGGGCCTGTAACAAACATTGACTAGATGTAAGTGAAATGATGCAATGAAACTGTAGACAAAACCTATTGACAGATAGAAAGTTATATCTAAAGCTAGGGACATACATAACATTTTTCAGAATGAATTCTGGAGATATAAGAATTCTGCCTGCATGAGTGACTATTAGCTTGAAGGAATTAGGAAGATTAATATGTAGTGGAGAGGGTAAAGAAGTTAGAGATAGGAAAGCATTAGAGTCAAAGCACATGTGTTCTGAAGCCCCTGAATCAATAATCCAAGTACTAGAGTTAAAAACTGAAAAATAGGAACCATTATATTTAATAATAGTACCAACGTCAACATTTGCATTGATCTCTGGATTAGAACTTCCTGCATCCCCAACCTTAACCTGCTTGATTAGATGCACTAACTGTGAGAATTGATCTTTGGAGATGTGCTGAGACAAAGGCTCACTGCAGTTGTTATTGTGTTCTTCTGTTGTTTCAGCTGAAAATGTCCCATTTCCCCTAACTTGAAACTGGCTTCCTTTGGTATTGGTAAACTCAAAATCCTTAGGGAAACCTATGATTCTATATCAGTCATTGATTGTGTGCCCTATCTTCTTGCAATAGCTACAAGACACATTGGGATTAAATTTGGTTTTCTTTCCCTTGAAGGTTGGGTTCTTCTGTGTTAGATTTTCAGGTTTCTGCATATGATTCTTCTGGATTTGTCCAAAATTCCTTTTTGTCAGTTTTCCATTTTTCTGTGGATAGTTACTTTGAGCCATAAAATTACCTTGATTTCCCACCATGAAAGATGATGAATCAACAGAGATTGGAGGGTTTGCATAGATTTCTCTCTGGTTTTCATCTTGTAGAACCAAGGAATATGCATGATTGATGTTGGGCAAAGGGTTCATTATTAAGGTATTTCCTCTAGCTTGTCCATAACAATCTTTCAATCCCATGAGAAATTGAATGAGTCTTTCATCTTCTAAGGACTTTTCTAACTTTTCCTTTCCCTCACAAACACAAGAGCATAGACACTTGACATCACAATTCAGAGAATCTAGCTCATCCCATAAATGTTTGAGTTTCGTAAAGTATCCTACTATGTTAGTTGTTCCTTGAACTAACCCTGATAATTCTTTGCGCATGTGATAGAGTTTGGTACCATTTGACTGTCCAAACCTATGTTCAAGGCTGTTCCACAAATCCTTTGCAGATTTTGAGTAAATAACACTGTCTCCAATGTCTTTGGAGAGGGAGTTTAGAAGCCAAGAGATGACCATGTCATTGCATCTACTCCAAGGCTGAAAATTCTTGGAAGTAGAAACTGGAGCTGGGCAAGTTCCATTGATAAAGCCTAACTTATTCTTGGTTGAAAGTGCAATTGGCACAGACCTCCTCCATCCCTGGAAACCTCTACCAGTGAAGATTGCATTCACCAAAGTCATTCCAGGTGCATCAGAAGAATGGAGGAAGTAGGGATGGTTTGGATCGAAGATTACTCCATTTCCAGATCCAGTTTGGGTGACAGTAGTTTCAGTGTTATCAGGAATGATGATGACGATGAAGAGAATAAATAAGATAGAACAAAGAGAAGAATGTATCGAGTTTCATTGCTCTGATACCATGAAAGATTGTAAAAGAAGAAGACAAAATTTAGGAATTTTCTCTCTGTATTCCATTGTGTAATCATCAACCTATATATACAAGTTGTCCTATCTAGAAAGAATAAAAGAATGTACACTTGTCTAAATCCTATATGCTATGAGAATAACTAACTAACCACTATTATTATTATTATTATTATTTATAATGCTTATTCACACATCTCACACATGTGAGAATAATCTGATAGAAAAAATAGAAAAAGAAAAATTCTCTAATCTGGATGGGGAGGATTTGTTCTATCATGTGCCATGTGATTTGCTGAGGGAGCTCCACGTGTGAATCCTAATTGTGTAAATGAATCCTTGTCATTTCTAGATAACTCCGAAGACCTTTGCTTTGTCTGAAAACCAGTGTCCTCTTCTTCTTCTTCAATTGAACATTCCTTTCCCTTGTTTCTCTGATCAACTGAGGGAAAATTAGAGGAATTAGAGAGTGATGAGTTTTTCTCAACAAGAGCAAGGTTATCTACTTGGTTAATGGTCTAACTAATCGGGTGAAAATCAAAACGGGTCAAATCCATGAGCCCAACAGGAAAAAGCCTCTCGTCTATAAATACTTCCTCTTGTTATAAAATAAAAGCAATGCAATAAAATATAAATAAGAAGAGATAGAAAGAAGGTAGAAGTGTTTTCTTCTTTCACTTTGGTGTATCTTTCCATTGCAATTACATGGCCTTTTATAGGCATAAAAAGTAAAGATGATGGACATAAAGTAGGAGATTTAATCCTTAAGTTATTCATAACATAGGCATCCAATGTAGCATCCAATGTACAAACTATTCATAACACTCCTCCTTGGATGTCCATGTAAGATAATGTGCCTCATTAAGAACTTACAAAAAAAATATTGGGATATACATAGTTCTTTATAATATGCATTGCTTGCTACCTCATTAAAAACCTTACCAGGAAAACCCAGTGTGACAAAACCTTGGTTAAGAAAAAGAGTACAACGTGTAGTTACTCCTCCTGATGAAAAATCACTTAATGTCTCGAAGACGACGCATTGTAATCTTATATATCAACTTTTCAAATATTGAGGTTAGTAATGCCTTAGTGAACAGATCAACCAAATTATCACTATTGTGTTGAGTTATAGATCTCAACCAAATGCATTCTCGACTTGCTTCGTGAATGGCTATTATCTCTGCATGATTTGAAGAAGTATCAACCATAGTTTATTTTGTCAAACGCCATGGTATGGCTGTACCTCTACTTGTAAATAAATAGCTTGTCTGAGATGGACCTTTGTGTGGATCAGACAAATATCCTGTATCTGCATAACCAATCAATGATGGTTTGGATTCATTTGAATAAAATAAACCCATATCAATGGTCCCTTGGAGGTATCTGAATATATGTTTAATACCATTCCAGTGTCTTTGTGTTGGCGAAGAACTAAATCTTGCCAATAAGCTTACTAAGAAATCTATATCTGGTCGGGAATTATTGGCAAGATACATTAATTCCCCAATTGCACTAAGATATGGTACTTCGACACCAAGAAGCTCTTCATCATTTTCATGAGGTCGGAATGGATCTTTCTTTATATCAAGTGATCTCCCAACCATCGGGGTACTCAATGGATGTGCTTTATCCATATAGAATCGCTTTAAAATCTTTTCGGTGTATGTTGATTGATGGACAAATATTCCATCTTTCATATACTCAATTTGTAGACCAAGACAAAATTTTGTCTTTCCAAGATCTTTCATTTCAAATTCTTTCTTCAAACAGTCTACTGTTTTTGGAAGCTCCCCAGGAGTTCCAATGATATTTAAATCATCAACATACACGGCGATTATAACAAATTCAGATCCAGACCTTTTTATAAAGACACAAGGACAAATTGGATCATTCTTGTACCCTTCTTTCAACAGGTATTCACTCAGGCGATTGTACCACATACGACCTGATTGTTTCAATCCGTATAAAGATTTCTGAAGCTTTATTGAACAAGTTTCTCGAAAACTTTTATATGTTTCTGGCACTTTAAATCCCTCAGGTACTTTCATAAAAATTTCGTCGTCTAATAATCCATACAAATAGGCTGTAACAACATCCATTAGATGCATATCAATTTTTTCTTGCAATGCCATATTTATGAGACACCTGAAGGTGATAGCATCCACTACAGGAGAATATGTCTCCATATAATCAATTTCAGGCCTTTGGAAAAACCCTTGTGCCATAAGTCGCGCTTTATATCTAACGACTTCATTTTTATCATTTCATTTTCGCACAAAAATCCATTTATACCCTACTGGCTTTATGCCTTCAGGTGTTCGAACTATGGGTCTGAAGACTTCACGTTTTCCAAGTGAAGTTAACTTTGCCTGGATAGCGTCTTTCCATTTTGGCCAATCATTTCTCTGTCTACATTCATTGACAGATTTTGGTTCAATATCCTCATCTTGTTGTATTATTTCAACAACAACATTATAAGCAAAAATGTTATTGATAACAATATTATTTCGGTTCCATCTTTTTCCGGTTGAGACATAACTTATTTATATCTCTTCATTCTCATTATTTCAGGTGCCAGGACCTCCCCTAAGGTCTTATCATTTGTTACGTCTTGGGGCTCTTCTTGAGCCACTACCTCTGTGTTATGTTCACTTTGATCACTCGCTCTTTTTCTTCTTCGAGGATTTTTATCTTTAGAACCGATTGATCTACCACGTTTCAAGCATCACTTAGACTCATTTGCTTTAATTAATTGTTCTTCCGTGATATCAACTCGAATTGGAGCATTAGTAGCTGGAATATGTACTTAGTCACCCTTGGTAGGTCAGCGGATGCATCTGACAATTGATTTGTAATATTTTGTAAATGAATAATCTTTTGAACCTCTTGTTCACATTGATTTGTTCGAGGATCTAAATGAGACAGTGATAATGCATTCCAATCTATCTTCTTTTTCAGCTGCTTATTTTCTCCCCCTAATGTTGGATATA